TGCAATTAACTTCCCTTGTATAGAGACCTGGAGGGGAGGGGATGCTCACAAATGCCTGAAAAATCTAGTAAATTCAGGCAAGGTCAATTTTATACAGTCTGTAGCTCACTACAGATGTAGAGGACCACTTATTCTAGCACTACATACTTTGCCTGATTACTTGCAAAAGCAGAAAATATATTGCTGAAACTACAATCCCTGGACTTGGAGCTTAGATGAATATTGTAGTGGGCAACAAAACATTTAGGGTGATCTTATAAAGTCTGGTCTTACCAAAGCTAAGTTTATGTTTTCTGCCCCTGCTGGTCATCCAGCACAACCCCCAACCCTGTGCCTTCCTCTAAACACATGATATGTAATCCTGCCTGTGAGTCTTTTATGGATCAGATGTAGTCAGACTCCTTTCCAAGAAGGTGTAGCTTACAAGTCCTGCTCTGAACCTACTTATCCACCCCACTTCCTGTTTCTCTTTTTCTGCCTCCTACAAAACAGTAATTATTGCTGGGAGCAACACACAGGCATTTGCAGTCAGTGGCAGAGTACAGGCATGAGTCAGTCCTGCAGTCCCTTGGTGGGGCCAGTTTCTGGTTATCATAGGGTGTACTTTGGAGTCATATTACTTTGCAGAGAAAAAAAATTTCAGTCAGTCACATAACATGGCACTCAGACAAGCTAATGAGTTTCTTCCAGGGTGGGTTCACACACTATGATTTTGGCATATGTGTCTGCATGTACAATGTGTAGATTGGTAACATATGGGGCTGACTCATCAGTAGCCTGTGAAATCCAGAAGAGCGAACAGTCATAAGATTTCATAGGCCTATCAGTAAATCAGGCCCATGTGGTAGCAATTTACATATTCCATTTCCCCATGCTCAGAGAAAAGAGACAGAAGCCTAAATCTGCAATAACATAATGTTCAAAATGGCTTTGAGCCTCAAAAAGTTGGGAGAGGAAGACATCAGTATCACTCCACCCATCATGTAAATGTAGTCATCTCTAAGGTGAAATGCAATGACTGACTAACAGCATTGGCCCCATAATTTAGGGCCGGAAGCAGAGATAATACCCACTAAGTTGACACTGAAGCATAATTAGAGACCAAAAATAGTTTTGGAATTTGGTGAAGGCACTAGGGCTTAAGATCCCAGTCATTCTTGTGTTTCATGAGATTTTCAGTGACTTTAAACAGTCAATGTGGTATCTCCTCCCCCACATGAGAGAAGAGTCCACTTACAAGAACTTCCCTGCCAGTTTGGGCATTCACACAACTCACAACCTTACATATTTTAAAAGTCCACATTTGCTGAGACCAGAACACAGGAGAAACCCAGCAGCTACAGGGCAATGTTTTGGCAGTGCTGTTTTCAATGGACACGACACGCTCAGATGATTAGTAGACGGACATGTTTCCACAGTTTCTTGAAGACTCAGCTGAGCTTACACTGCCTGCGTTTGCAAAATGCCAGCTATACATCACTGGGAGTGCCGGCCCAACTTTTTATAAGCAGTTAAGATAAACGCTACCAGGAAGCTTTAGAACAGCTCCCAATTTCTGTGGGGAAAAGGGTTTATCCCCTGAAGAAAGTAAGAGCTACTTTCTGTGCAAATGGCAGAGAGGAGCAGTATAAACCTATTGAATACATAGGAAATAAATAAAAGTTTGACATGCTTATAGTCTATCCTTTTAAATAAAAGGGCTGGCCACAGGAGGCAAAAAGGGGGGAAGTATTTCTTTTAGAATAATATATCATTTCCAGAGGGTACCCCTCCTCAGTTGTACCTGTCTACTATAAAAGGTATGAAGCCAATAAAGTCTTATATCCTTTCCCCAATACACAGCCAAGTGTTATGATTTTTCACCATCAAGCTATTCCAGAGCTCTCCACAGCAGTGAGCCAAACAAGACTGCAAATTATGTTAAATATTTTGTTTAAAAGTATATGCTGAACTCTTTCCAGAAATAAACTTTAGAAGAGTAGCTGCAAGTGCCCTGGCCTATATCTCCTGCACACTATAGACAATGATTTATTGTGGGTAGGCACATTCATAGTCAAAAAACATAGGCATGACGTGAGCACCCAAACACCATATAAAGTAGGTTGTTGCCAATGAAAGTTCATGCCCAATAAAACAGCTATTAAGGCACTGTAGCACTTTGGCCAAGAAATCCTGTGATGCAAAATACCGCTACAAATAAGTAAAGCTCTCAGGAGACTGAACGGCAATATACATATTAACAAGCCCCACCCTATTTTACCATGGGCTAGATCCTGCTCCTTTCCCAGGAATATGCAAAATGGCATGAATTCAAGTAGGCAGCGTGTACTGCCAATGGGGTCTAGCACAGGAAAGTTATATTTGAGGTCTCAATGTATCTTGGAGGGGCACTTCAGGACAGTCAGTGTGATGTTACTGCCCAGAAACTGCAACACAACCTTTTCTACAGTACACTTCCTTCAGGTAAAGAAGAGCAGGTACTCTCTGGCCAGTCTGCCCATTTTTTATACACTTCTATTCAGGATCATTGCTATCTCCCAAGTTGGAAGATCTCAGTTTTGTGGCACTAGAATATGGTGTTATTGCACCATTACATTATCAGTAGTTTTTTTAAAAGTTCTTAAGGTTTAAAAAACAGTTCTTAAGCTGCCAGCACAGAAAATATAATTTCGAATCTATGCTTTCATTCCCCCAAAGACTTCTCTTTTGCTGAAACGTTGGGATTGGTTTCTGTCGCCAAAAATCCTACATCAGTATGTGTATACTGATGCCAAGTACTGCTGATGAGCTTGCTGGGTTAAGGCTGTTTCTGTTATTGATCCAACTGATGCAGCACCAGAGGAGAGCGAGACAGATCAGAGCCATTATGAGAGGGTACCAATTGTGTTCTTGATTGATGTAGACTAAGAAAAGTCAGACCAGGCCACAAAGTCTTGTGCACATGGGTACAACCACCACACAGAGTAACATTAAAGCCTATGCCAGGACCATTCCTCTCATCCTGCAGAAGAGTTAGAGGGCCTTGAAGCTGGAATTCAAAGAATTGTAGAGGTAGGAGAGGCCTTTTAAAACAATCTAGTCTAGTCCAACACTCTGCTCAGCACAGAAAATTCAGAGTCAGAATGTCCCTGAAAGATAGTTGTCCAGCATTTGCTTGAAAACCTCTAATAATGGCGAACCCCCACCTCAAAAGCCAGTGTGGTGTAGGAGTTAGACTGGTGGACCAAGATACAGATTCAAATACCCACTCTGTCATGAAGCTCCCTGGGTGACTTTAGGACAGTCACACACGCACACTCTGCTTAACCTACCTCACAGGGTTGTTGTGGAGAAGGGGAGAATGGTATATACTTCCATGAGCTTCTTGGAAGAAGGGCAGGATAAAAAAATGCTTGAAATATATGTCATCAGTTCTATTATACTGCTCTCACTGTTAGGAAGTTTCTCCTAACATTCAAGTGAAATGTCCTTTCCTGTGATGTAAGCCCTTTAGAAGATCCAGCTCCCAGGAGCAGCAGAGAACAAATCTTTGTCCTCTTCCATGAGGCAGTCCTTTGGGTATTAGAAGAGTGCGATCACATCTGCCCTCACTCTTCTCTTCTCAAGGCTAGACATACTCAGGTTATTCAAGTTCTCCTCATAGGTTATCCAGACCCCTAGGCATCTTTGTTGCACGCCCCCAGACCCGTTACGATTAGTCTACATCTTTCTTTAAACAGTGGCACAGGGAACTGGGCACAGTACTCAGGATGAAGCTGAACTACTGCATACGAAATCTCTAAGATGCCAAGCTCTGCTCCTCCCCCCACAAGGAAGCAAGCAGAGCCAGTCTTGGATCAAACCAGATAGGTCTAGGTGGGCAGCCGTGTTGGTCTGAAGCAGTAGAACAAAGGTTGAGTCCAGTGGCACCTTTAAGAACAATAACGTTTGATTCAAGGTACGAGCTTTCATGTGCAAGCACACTTCCTCAGATAGCGCATACCTTGAATAAAACTTTGTTGGTTGTAAAGGTGCCACTGGATACAAACTTTGTTCTATTGGATGAAGCCAGTATTTCTGATTCTAGCTTTAGAGAGGACTACTTTCTTTTCAGTTCCGTTCCGTTTTTTACATTTTACATTTTTATACTTCATCCTCTCCTATACAGTCTCAGAGCAGTTTAACATTCTACAGTAATGCCAGTTAGGGTACTGGTGTGAAGGTATCTGTCAAAAGACAAAGTCTTAAAGTGGCTGCTGTAGACTTTAGGGCCAGCTTTTGATCAGATACCATATAGGAAGGTTGCTTTTCTGACCTGACAAGGCTCTGGTCCCAAATCATTATGACCTGTCCAGTGAACTGAGTTTTGATTCAGCTTACTCTAGGAGCTCATGGCCTGAAAGTGGCCCCCACCCACCCAGTGCACCTGGGTCAGCAGAGGCACAGAAGTCCACACCTCCAACTCATCTGGTGAGACAGGATGGACCGGCTCTTATATAAAGCAAGAAGCTTGAGTTTCCGGAATATCCTACACTTTTGCTAGATACCGAGTTAGGGGGCCTGGAGAAACTGGACTGCTGGGCGTGGTGGCAGGGGGCTTATATTAGCTATAGGACATGAAATTCATCTCCCTCCCATCTCATGGGACACAGGGACCACAGTCACTCATACCACTTAAAACTGACACACTCCACTCCCATAATGGGGGGCAGTATACACAGTCCTCGCCTACACACTGATTTGGGCCACAGTACCCGTCCGGACGGTACTAAGAAATCTTACGTACGTTCAGCCTAAGCACCATAATATAGCAGCACCCCTACTCCCAAACTTGGCACTACTCTCCATGCCCGGCCGCGGTGCCTGCGTGGGCCCAGGGGAAGGGGAAGTGCCGCTCTCCAGTGAGGACACTGTGGGATTTCAGGGGCCAGATCGCGCCAGATCCCAAAGGCCCAGCTCCCCTGTCCGGTAGGACTGGGGAGGGTCTGGGGCGGGGGGGGGCGTATTTCGGTGTCGCTCACCTGCTCGCTTGCGCGGGTGCCCTGGGGTGGTCGGCCGCTCCCTGCGTTGTCTCCCCACGCAGCTGCCCATGGCGGCACCCCCAGGCTGCGATTCCAAGGGTTCCTTGCGCCTGAGCCCTGCTCAGGGCTCTCCCGCTCCGCATGGGGCCGGATCCCCAATCCGCCGTCCGGACAAGCACGCAAACTTTCTGCAGGGCGGCTCCCACCGCCGCCGCCGTCGTCGCCGCCACCACCTCCTCCTCCTCTCAGGCAGGTTTGGAGTCTTGCGGAACGGGAGGCGTGAATGAGGCGCTGCTGTTTTGATCAGGTTGGATCCAGCCGAGACAGGCCCGGCGACTCCGATGCTCGCTGCTGCTGATACGGTCGCAGCCCCGCCGAGAGCTGGGCTCTGAGCCGGGGAGGGTCCCCGGCCCCGGGAGACACTTCGGGCTCCTCCTTCTCCAGGTGAGCATGTGACTCGGCGGCAGGAGCCCGGCCCCCGCTCCGCCTTCTCTCTGCCAGCCGAGCCCTGGAAGAGGATCGGCCGTGACCCTAGCCACAGTTCTGCAGGGAGGAGCGGGCGAGACTGAGGGGAGACACGCCGGCCGGCCCGCCGGCCCGCCCCGGGTAGTGGCGGTTGGGGATTAAACGGACCTCAGCACAAAGTTGCCAACCTCTCTGCCGATTCCGCTCTTCTCGGAACTCTCCACAGGCTCGACCTCAGGCAGGATTTCAGGAAACCAGATTTGCAAGGGCCCAACTGTCCTGGTTAAAGACGCAAGGGAAGTCGATCGGCCTGACTCCACACAGGGCCCAAGCAATGTAGACTACCGTTGCAAAAGGCAAGGTTGTTGGGGTTCGGAGCCTTTGGATTTCGGGGCAGCTCGCCGTGTTGGCAGTGGAAGGCCGCTGCTCTCCCCTTGCATGGTCCTTCTAAAACATCTGAATGGTGCCACTATAACCCTCCCAAATGGGGGCACATGTATACAAGCTTGTGGCATGACTTTTCCGGGATGGTGGTCCTATAACACTTTCTGAAAGTCAGTTCTGGCTTAGTTTAAACTTTCAGTGTACTGGTAGCCTGATTCTGTGCAAAGTTAGGCCTGTTGACCTCTGCATAAACTTGGGCTGTAAGGAACAGAAAATAATAGATTGCTCTAGCCTCTATCTACAAGATCGTCCCATCCCTATTTTGATTCTGAACAAAAAAGGTTAGCACCAGTAATTCTTATTCAGATAACGACTGAGTCCACATTGGTTTCCCTTTGTACCAAAAGGGAATTTGGGTCTTTATCACTGATGCAGTCCCACCACACTTATTCCTGTCTCTTTCCTTTGCTCAGGGAGAAATATTAGAAATGCCTCTTATCCTATTTAAAAAGTGTATGCTACACCCATTTTTGTGTCGTGAAAGGTATTACAACTGCTCCTTGCTTCTCACTGAAGACTTTACATGTGTGCATAAGTGCTGTCAAGTTGCAACTAACTTATGGCAACCCCTGGAAGGGGCTTTCTAGGCAACTGAGAAGCAGAGGTGGTTTGCCATTGCGTTCCAATGCAGAGTCTTCCTTGGAGGTCTCCCATCCAAGTACTAGTCCTACTTAACTTTTGAGATCTGACAAGATCAGGTTATACCATGCCACCTTCCCTCCCTGAAGATTTTTACAAGCTAGCAATTTAACTAGCAAAGGCAGATAGCAGACTATGAAAGACAAATAGGTGGAGTGGGCAGAATGACCTAGCTGAGACTTAGCTAACACTAAAGGTCATCAGATCAGACACATTCCAAAGATTTCAGGGGTTTTTTTTCTTTTTATTGTTTGTGGCCCTAGTGCAGAACATCCTATTCATGTTTGAGTCCATGTTAATCCATTTGCATTTTTATTGCATCAGGGCTTTTGCAGTACTGAGTTTGGAATCTGATTCTCTTACATTGTCCAGATGCAATTCCAGGTCCTCCCAACCATATAATATTCACAAAGAAATTGCCTTTTAGATAATACAAGTGAGGGACAGGCAAGAATTTCAGGGGGCATCTCATTTTCCCTGCAATTCCCCTCCCTCACTATTTTTCTCTTTGGCTCCCCGGACAGCCTCTGTAGACTTTCCCTTTTTCCTGCTTCCTGCTCTCCTTTGCACCTGCCAGCCAGTGTTTTTTGGTTTCCATATTCAGAGGCAGTAAACCTCTGAATAGGAGTGCTGAGAGGCAAAGAAGGCCATGGCCTCTATGCCCTGTTGTTGGCCTTTCAGAGTAACTAGTTGGCCACTGTGTGAACAGGATGCTGGATTAAATAGCACACTGGTTTGATCCAACAGTGCTCGTTTTGTGCCTCCCCATCTTCAATGTTCCCTCCTTCCCTCTCCCTGGCAGCCTCTCCCCCCTAGGGAAATGTCTGTCTTAGTTGCATGGTGGCAACTGTCCAAGGGCTTGGCCAAGTTGCATGGAAAGTGAGTTTCCAATGGTTGCTGCCTGGCCCATCCCCAGCAAAGCCTCTTCTACCAGAGGACATGGCAAGGGAAATGAGGTTGGCCTCCTGGCCTCCTAGCCTCCCCCAGAGTTTTGCTTTACAGAAACCAAGGCTTGGAAGGCTAGTCAGCAAACCCCAAAATGGCCACACAGATCTCAAAATGTAATTTCAGCAGGTATTCCTTTCTTAAAACCTCAGGTATTGTTTCTTTTATTTTAGGGAGCTTTAATCCACCAATATATTTTACTTTCTTAGATTTCAGATTTTTCAGCAAACTTGAGGCTTCCTTTAGGTTTGTGGGGAAATCTCACCTGTCCCTGGATTTATTTTGTGGATTTTTTCATCCATGCTCAGGATTAGATATATGATAAAGATTAGGTGCTCTTTGAAAACAAGAACTAGTAAATAAATTACATGTAAAAAGAATAACCCCAATTCAGTGTCTATCAGGCTTTTTGAACTGGGGCCCTCTTCTAAATTTACACTACCTTCCAAGTTCCCACCACTTCACGGGCAGCCATCTCTTCATCAAGCAAACACACAGAGTTCGTAAACACAGCCGCATCTATACAGCTTACGGAACAAAGATCCATAAAAATCTGTGGACTGGCCATTACTTGGAAGTGGCATTAGAAGGGTTGAGTTTTCTCCCCCCCCCCTTTTTCCCCCTTCCCCCTTCCCTTCCTTTTTGTTAGCATTAGAAGGGAACAGGGCAGCTCACTTCCTAAAACCAGCCATCCAGGTAGGGTTGCCAGCTCCCCCTTGGCACTGGCATGAGGGTAGGGTAGTCAGCTCCAGGTTGGGAAACTCCTGGAGATTTGGGGGTGAAGCCTGGGAAGGACAGGGACCTCAGTAGGGTACAATCCCATAGAGTGCACCCTCCAAAGTATCCCTTTTCACCAGGGGAAGTGATCTCTGTTGTCTGGAGATGAGCTGTAATTCTGAGAGATCCCCAGGTCCCACCTGGAGGCTGGCATCCCAACATTCAGGGAAGGAGGCAGGAGGGGGTTCCTTCTGGCTCTCTGTAGCTTCCATGGTTAGTGTCACAAGTAGCAGTTTTGAGGCTGTAATACTAAATTTCTGCTGCTAGAAGAAAAATGCTCTAGATCTGCAGGCCGTGAGATCATATTCCTACCTGCAACACACCTTTCCAAATGTCTTGCAGTCCCCTCAGGTCACAGTTTGAGAACCCCAGCCCTGTCCTAATTTATGCTTGTGTTTGCACAGCACCTGGGGCCAGAATTCCACAGAGAAAAGAGGATCTGTTTCCTTCCTTCGTTCTAGGTTATCCTCAAAGCAGAGTTTGTCTGGCATTTGTAGCTTTGCCTTTTGTACTCTGGATGAGTCAATGAAAAATAATTCAACTGTATAGCACCAAATTAGTTTTTAATTACTTAAACATGGAGGGGGTGTCTCTTAAACTGTCATAATTTATATGTACATTTGAAATACGAAAGGCTTTTGTACCAGCAGGTTATACCCAGAATTAAACTGTGTTGCCACTGGACTCAAAACTTTGTTCTGTTGCTTCAGACCATCACGGCTACCAACCTGAATCCATACAGTCCGTTGACACTTTGAAATCTGTTGTGATCATTCCTCATACACTTATATTGGCAGAAAGAAAGGCTATGGCGGCAAAAAAAGACTTTATTTTTTGCTTTCCCAGTAAATTGGGCCTAGTAAAAGCGAGCATTTAAACTATGGCGGTAAAACCTCGATCCTCTCCTAATCGGATTTAAACGCCTGCCCTGATTTTTGATAGTCCTATTTACTGCCTCCCGCAGGCCACGCCTCTGCCTACGAACTGTACACTCTGCTATTACGGTCCGCCACTACCTTTATCCCTTCGCACGTGACGGAGAGGGTGCGCACGCGCAGTTTGCGCTTCTCCTCCTCTTCCCCCCCCCCCCTTGTCGTTTTCAGATTATGATGGCGGCTGGAGGGGCTGATGTTGATGCAGGCGCGCCTGGTTCCCAGCTCCAGCCTTGGGAACGGGAAAGCGCTGCCCGAGAAGCAGCTGAAGGTATGGGCATGCAGAGGACAGGGGAATGGAGCAGACGAAAGTAGAAATCGGCCGGAGACCAGACGGCATGCTACTGCGGTCTCTGTGGGAAATGAGGTGGGGCTTGCAGGGAAGGAGGTGGCGGCGCAAGGCTCGTCAGAAGACTGATGGGAGTGCGGGAGGTGGGAAAAGCGGAAGGAAGGCGGAGTTTCGCGAGCCATTGGAAGGCGGGGAGAAGATTTGGGGGGTGGGGTTATACGGGGCGGAAGGCTGGCTCAGATTCGGACTGCGATGGCCAAGTGTATCATGTAAAGTAATGAAAGCATCGGAGGAGGTACATCTTGCCTTTGCCTGACCACAGAGTGCCACTGTGCCAGCACTATCAAGACACAGCTGGGAGTGATTAATTAACTATGGCTAGTAACGTGGTTTAGTAGTGAGGGCAGGCACCATTTTAATGGGGTGAGATGTTAGGATGTGATTCATAGCATGAGCAACTAGGGGCAAGTTGGGGTTTTTCTTCCTCCTGATGGTTTCAGAGATGATGAGCAAGAATGACATATCAAGGCAGGTATAAAGGTGCTGCTGTGCTCTAGCTGCTACCTAGAGATGAAAACTGTATGTATGTTGCCTCAGTGTTTTATTCACCAGGATGTGACCAGCAGAGAACTGACATACACAAAATTAGTCCCCTTTGCCTTGAATAAATTAACTCACTATGGCTTCTGTTCTGTTCAGTTCACGAATACGGTTTTGAATCTCACTTTGACACTGAAAAAACAAAGGAAAAGCCACCCCTTAAACGTCATCTGAACATAAAAGGTTAAAGGATAATTAACCCATATTTGCGTTCGTCAGTAGTTTCCATCTTGTAAGCTTGTATTTCTGCTCTTTGAAACACTGTCCCATTTACTTCCCTAAGAGAGTTACAGGATTACTTTAGGCTCAGATGACTTATTTGTGGTACGGTGACCACTGATGAATTCAT